AATCAGACGGTAAAGCACCACGGCCGAGTGAATTTGTGACCACGGCCATGAATCAAACATTACAGGACCGCGACGAATGAACATGTTACCACGGCCATTAATCAGTCGATTAAGAACCACAGCCGAGGTAACATGTTACCACGGCCATTAATCACACAACCACGRCCGTGGTTCTAAACACCCCGGTCGCGAATCGAACAAAGTGGACCATGGCCGTGACGGGGATTAAGGTTATCTGTATSCAACCACGACCGAAATCACCTAAAACCACGRYCGTTAATCATAACACCATTGACCACGGCYGTTAAACGAAGAAACATGGCCATGAATCATTGACTTATGTAACTTTTTTTACCGTAAAAAATACTGATCAAAATTCAGAATTCCATTTAGTCCAACTACATACATCATATTATGGACGAGTCAAAAGTAATATTATGAACCRATAAAAAACTAACYTCGTTCAAGGTGTCAAAGATGATAAATTGACTTCCTTTAATGGATTGAAGATGTGAAAAATGTTGGAAAAGGTATGGAATTTCTTCAAAACCACGTGAAAGATGTGCTTGTAGACAAAACTAAATGAAACATACTTTTATTCTCTCCAATCTATGAGAATGTATGGGTATATAATAAATGAAAGTACAAAAATTTGGTGGGGAATTAATATGTTCGTGGTACTTTAATAAATTCACGGTCATGAATTAAGTGGAACTCGCCCATGGTTTTAATTACACCAATCCGGGGTACATTCGTAATTACAGACTCTCTGAAATGTCAGAAAAATTAAAATTGGGTCAGTTGAGTTAATTTTTATAATTTAGGTCATTTGAGCAAAATAGAAACTTTTTTAGGTTATCTATGCCAATTTTCCATCTTCTTCCGCGGCCAGCCAATAGCCTACCAATTTTTTTTCTTTTATTTTTTAACCTTTTAGAAAACGGCTAAAATTCATATTTATTGCTTTTTAGCTCATACCTTTCAAATTAACTGAACTGATAAGTTTAGAACTTTGCACTTGGAAATTGCTATTAACTTCCAAGTAACTACAATGTATGGGGTTCGGAACCGCTCTTTTAGTCGGAATATATATTGTAACTGGTCAAGGTCTTGTAGATGTGTTAAAAATGTCTACTAAATTAACAGTTTATTAGACACAAAATTAAAATTTAAGGGGACTACTAGACACGTTTTAAATCGCAAAGGATCAAAGTTGTGATTTGAGCATTTATATCGCGATAGGTTCGTTAGTTTTAGATTTATTTATTTTCACAAATTTAAGGTGATGATTCGAATATATCATTGTTAAAGATAGATAAATATGTTTTAACGATTGAGTGATGCTCCAAAAAAAACTATTGAGTTACGTTAAAGTTGTCAACTTGGACATAGCTCAAATGGTTGAGACATATATCATTAATAAAAAAGTTGGAGGATCGAATTTCTACTTCACATGTTGTTGAACTTAAAAAAAACAATAGCTATGTTCAATTAATAATATGCTCAAATTGAAAACACCCAAATGGTTAGGGTAATAAAAATTTGAGAAAAGTTTGAATCTCTCCTCTAATGATGGAAAAATATTGAATATATAGTTACTCAATAGTTAAAGAATTTTATTTATTTTCTAAAAATCAGGGATTTAATCCTCTATCCTTACATTTATTATACTAAGACAAAAACGATTACTTATATCTTATTATCAAACTATAAAATATATATATATATATATATAACAATAAATTAAAATATTCGTACCTTGTACATATAATTTGATAATATTTATTTAATATTTTCATAAGCAGTGAGTAGTGACATCAATCAAAATTCAACCAATCATCACACTTTAATACAAGTTAATGAAATAATACCAACATTACAATAATACCAAACATTATCTATATATATTATTATTATTTTTTTTTTGAAATCCGTGTATCCGGACCAGCTTGTGCGCACCTCGACTAATCACGGGTCAACTGCCTGACCCTACTACATTTGGTTGACAAGGTAACTCGTAGGATATTAAATCTTAGGTAGGTGGCCACCATGGTTTGAATTCATTTCCTTTAAGTCCAAACATTATCTATATAAAGAACGAAATATTTACTATATGCCAAATACATTCATAAGTTAAAAGACTCGAAATTAATAGGTGTATCAAATATAAAAATTATGAAATATGAAAAATAAAACCATCAAAATAAAAATAAACAATAAGATAAAATACTTATTTATTAATTGAAATAATTTGTATACATTTCTTAGTTACCATACTTTTTCAGGTATATTATCAACATTTGTATAAATTTAAGTATAGTTTAGGAATTAAATTGAATTAAGGAACGAAATACATAGGATTTGGGAGTTTGAAAGTACGATTTCCCACAAATTGCCCCTGAAGATCGCTCCACTGATCTCCGACGTTGCCCCAAATCCGGTACCCTTGCTCCACCAATCGCCGCCGCATCTCCGTCTTGAACTCCACAGCGTTCCGCCCTGAGTACGCCGCCGACCTCAAGATTAGGCGTTCGTAGCCGACGAATCCCTCCCGGTGCAGATTATCGGCGGTGATTTGGCCGAACGTCTCCTCGTCTCTGCCGGTGACGAGGAACACTTTGAAGCCGCTTCCGATCAGCTTTTCGAACAGCGCCACCACCGATTGGATCGCCGGACATTGTCCCTCCATCGCCCATGACTTAAACGCCGCCGCATCGTACGGCTCGCACCTGCTCCCACCATTTCTCCTTCGGTCACTTCTTCGTATTATTTCGTCTTTTTTATTTTTATTTTTGAAAATTATGTTTTGCTTTTCTAAAACGTACAGTTAATTCTTACACAAAATTCTTTTTTTTTTCTCTTTTGAAAAATTGGCTTTGAAAACGTTTTTTAAAAATATATATACTTAGATAGAAAAATTACACTATATATATATATTATATATATATATATATATTTTTCTTTGGTATGTTTTATAATATTAGATTTGAGTTTAAACTTGATTTGGCTATGTTGTTTTTGTAAAATTTCAAATTTATGCCATATGCAAAAATACCCACTCATTTTATGCTATTTAGTTAAATATGTCAATAAAAAAATATATGGATAAAAGTAGTACTTACACATTTAATTTACAAAAATAGAAAACTAAATACAAGATAGTAGTTAAATGGGAGAGAAAATTCATATTTTTGTTGTTGTTTTCCCTTAAAAAATATAAGGACATTAAATTATATCTTAAATTTAAAATAAATAAAAAATTTACAATCTTAGGTCATTTAGAATCCGTTTGGTAATTTCTTATTTTTCATTCTTCATAAAGAAAATTGGAATTTTAAACCGGTAATAAAAAATGGTAAAACCAAAGAGTATTTTATTTTTAAAATAATAAGGGATGTTCAGAGGAAGTTACGTTTTGCTAGTAAAAAGTCAAATATCTTTCGATTTCGAACGTAGGTTAAGTTCTATATTATAATCAAAATGCCGTAATTAACCCCAAGCAGAAAGTTCGGAAACAGATGAAAATTTAGGGATATTGGGTACCCGTATCTCCTCTTTTGTCTATAATAATCGACATTAGAAATGCAAGTATCGTCCACGTCAAGAATCCAGGCGTCCATTCCGTCGCCGGCGACCGGAATAGCCTCGGTGTAGCTCATAATCTGGTCGACGACGAAGCGTAGATCGTGCTCATACTGGCCGCCGGTGATGTAAGCTCCGATGCAGCTGAAGCACTGCGCCGGCACCGTCCGCCACGGCTCCACATTGTTCACCTCCACCGCCAGCCGCCAGCTCAGGCAGTGGCTGCAGCTGGCTCCGCCGCCCCTCGGCCAGTACGGCGGCCTCAGGGCGGCGGCCTTCGAAAACACGGCCAACATCAGAAACACTACTACTTCTCGGACTCGCCGGACCATTTCTACGATCATATGTGCTCCGACCGCCGGCCTTGATTTGATTTTGAGCACCATAAGAACAGACCATAATGGCCGCACCCAAAATCTTAAACTATTTATAGAGAGAGACAAGAGAGATTAAATTACATTTTTTACTCTATAGTCCATGCTTTTTCTTTTCTTTTTTTAATAATTTCTTGGATTTAGTCCTGCCACTCATTTTTACTTTTATCTCATTTCTTTCGATCCTAATTTTAACATTACACTACTTTCCTTAAATGTATCTTGAAAGTTAGTTATAAATTCGTATCGAAATGTTTTCATTGAATATAAATTATGTATTCCATTTGTGTTAAAATTTTGTAAATAAAGACTAAAACTGGTCACTTTCAATAATATAGGGACAAAAATGAACGTTTTGGAAGTATATAATCCATAAGAAAATTTTTAAGAATATGGATGCCACTCCTGTTTATCATTAATCACATCATCACCTTATTTAAAAATAATATGGAATCACTAATGTTAAAAAATAAGGCAAAATTATAATGTGAATATAGGAATATAAGTATCCTATAATACTAGAATTTTTTCCATCCTCTATAATATATAATTATATAGATCATGTTTAATTAGTAAATGTAAACCTAACTTAATGGATAAAATACTAATTATTTAAATTTTCTTGAAGTTGAAGACAAAAGAAAAAAAAAACCTCTAAATATGAATATGTCCTACATTTACATTAAATAATTTATAAAGAAAAAATGTCAATAGCAAAAATCAAAATGATTTTTTATACAAAATTATGAACTACGTCACCACGTGTTTCTCGTAATATAGTATAATTTAAAATTAAACGTATTTATTAAATTAACTTATGAACAAAACGATGGTTTAATGTTCGATTCGTTTATAATTAAGAGGTTAGAATATAATTGAAGTTAATTCTACTAGTATTTTTCTTTTTTTTTAGAGAATTAATTTTACTAGTCTTGATAGACAATTTTGTTTTTATATAATATATTGAACATCCATCAATTTTCACGTCGATTATAGATTTAGAAATCATCCTCAATAGTTTACTTATCTTATTAATAATTAAATTACAATTTTGGTCCTATTGTGATCATGTTAAACTAGAACATAAAAGTTTAAACCCAACCTATTAGAGCATATTTAATCTTTTATACCTATTCTAAACTTTAAAAAAATTTAATTACCTCCTTAAGATTTGAATATTCTATTTCAATTTTTGTAGTAACAGAGAATGAAATATTGGTGAGTATTTCATTAGTTAAAATTTAAAAGTGGCGTTGTGATCTAACAACTAATTTATGGATTGTCATGACTCATAAATAAAAACATGGCAAAAAATTTTTGAATATTTTTTTTAATCTCATTTGAGTTTCTAAACTTTCAACATTATTCTATTTTTGTCACTGAATTTGAGGGTTGTTTCTTTTCGATCTCCTGAATTTTCAAAATGTCTATTTTAATTTATAAACTTTTAAAAAATAACCATCATTATTCTTGTCTTTATTTCTCTTTGAACATGTTAATGTGAGCATGTAGCCAAATTACATTGGTTGAAGGCTAGTATTGGGTAAGCAAATATCACGTGGTAAAATAATATAACAATGACTCGAACAGAATCGACATTTTGAAAGTTGTAAGACTCGAACAGAACATACTCGAAAGTTAAGAGATGAAAATAATTTTTTTTCCCATTTTTGAGTGTGCCAAAAAAAAAGAAGGGAAACTTAACAAGAAAGGGAGTTAGGTGGACAAGAATGACACACATCACATGAGGGGGAGAAACATGAAAACAAAAAAGGCAAAAAAAAACACATAGGGATTTAATTTTTGTGTCAGTCAATTATATGCCCATCAAAGAAAGGTATTTTTTTACTCCAATTGGACAAGACAAGTGGATTCCTTTCCCGTGCGGAAATAAATACGTTAAAACAAAGTTTAACTTGCAAACTCAGTCTCGTATTTAGAGGTCGAAATAAAGTTAGATTTATTGTGAGAATGAGAATTCGAACTCACGTAATCTTGATCAGAAATAGGTTCGGTTGGATAGCAAGAACAATATTTGAATTACTAAAAGACACGTTTTTGGATAGAATTCAAAAATAAAACTAGTGGATTTGTTAGCGATTTTTTTCCTCTTGTCCTCTTTATTTAATGATTTGACACAACGTAGGTCAACTTGATAATATATTAACAAATTAAGCAAATAAATCAAATGAGGCAGGCTGACGAATACATTTCAAAATTAAACAATTGTTTGGGCCATCTACCATACACATCCACCTTAAAAGTTTACAAAAATGAAAAAGTTGTGTTAATATTAAAACAATTTTTAAGCAAAATTCACAAAACTAAACTCACAATCGTTTGAAAAGTTTTAAGAGTAAAAAATTAGGGGTGAAATTCACATTCCAAAACTTATTTTAATATCTAAAAAAAGACATCTTTAATAATTATTGATGCAGGATTCTAGATGATGTGACACGCTAGCTTCATATCTGAGGTGGACATTTAGCTAAGGTGAGTACTTGCACACAAATTTTTGCACTGATGTGGTGTTTGACCACGTACAACTCTAAAACTTAAGTTAGAACTGTGCTGGCGAATTTGGTTAGGCGGTATAGATCTAGAAATTTTTTACCTTTGAAAATAAGGTACTCTGTCTTTTATAGAGGAGCTTTGGAGAGCCTGGTCTACCATATGGCGTCCTGTATCCTGTGTCAACGAATTTACGCTAGTAGCATATGTATTTTCAAGGTAGATGTCGAGCTTGACTTCCTTTAGACCGATCATAAGTGATTTAACTTGTTCTACCTTGTTCTTGACCTACTTAAGATTATTGGAGTTGCAAGGCGTGGAAACAAAGTCTCATATTGGTAAGGGAAGAGAGTGATCCATGATATATAGATGATGACAATTATCTTCATTGGTATGACGTCTTTTGGGTAAAACCAGAAGTAAAACTGTGACGATTATCCCTTTACAAGT